TTTGATTGATATAACATGCTTTAATGTTCAGAACATCCCAGCACCATAAGTATACATACACAAAACTTCAGCATATTCTGAGAAAATGTTAAAAAGTAGTAGGTGATGGCTATGGTCTGATGCCTACTTAATTGCTTTCTAATGGCAATGCCAGATGTCACTCAACTTCATGGCCCTGGGAGTTGTGTTGCAGCAGTACTTATTATAATTTGTGTTTCCTTTTTTTTTTTTAAATTACAAAGTTCAGTAAGCTCTCTGTGCGTGCGTGCGTGCGTGTGTGTGCGTGCGTGTGCGTGTGTGTGTGTGTGTGTGTGTGTGTGTGTGAAGTCTCTTTTTAAAGTAGTTCCCAGGTAATTTAAGAAGTGGACACAGATCAAACACGCTTTGTTGTTCAACTAATTCCCTGTTCTTTGTCTCTGTCAGGTCTTCAGTCTTGTAGGATAGGCCTTTCTGGTGAGGGTTTGCACATGCTCAGAGTGTACTGCTACTGCCCCTGACAGACAACTGTACCTCTACTGCCCCTGACAACTGTGTACTGGATTTAGTAGTTCCAGGGCAGAATACTCCTGTGGGGGTGCAGATAGAATCCTAAGACAATTTTTTTTTGGCATGAGCAGGGCCATGTCAAGGATTCCAGTGCCCCAGACCCATGGCAATGACAAAACCTTCTCCATGTCAGGTTCAGAGGGATGCTGACATTGTATGCAGAAACTATCAGCTGCAGCGACAGAGACGTCCTACCAAGCCAGCTAATCCTCCTCTTCCTCAGTGTGTGCTGTAAATGTTAACTGTGCCAAATTTCCAGGCTATGCCGGTGCATCTCCACCAGAGTGCACGACCCACCTGATCTCAGCCTCCCTGTGTGTGACAATCTTTAAGGCCAGCAGGCTTTGGCGTCCTGTCTCCCTGTTTCCATGAATCACTGCTACTCCTTTGAATGCTTAACATCTTATTAAAGGATTAAAGATATAAAAGTATAAAGTAATTACTCAATGAAAATACAAAGGGAGACACTGTTCTTATGTAGCTCCTTAATGTGTTTTAAGCTGTGTTACTATAAAAGTTCAAAAGTTAAAAAATTAAGAAAAATTTACATTAAAGTGTTACAATAATCTAGGATTAATTTATTATTGAATACAACTGTTTCATAAAATCCATGTACTGTAGCCCAATGCATGCTGCGTGTAAATTCTACAGCAGCAGACCCACAGCTTGGGTTTCCATGTTCATTAGCAATTGTTCACTAAATCACCAGGGCAACCATCCAGCTACTCAGCCTCATTCATACTAAGTGCCTTAGACTAATGCAATGTTCTTGTGTGTGTGGGGTGTGTGCATGTGACTGTGTCTCTGTGTGTGTATGCATGTGTCTGTGTGTGTAGACCTAACAGTACAATGTTGACCTTGAGTGTCTTCCTAGATTGCTCTCCATCTTATTTATTGAGGCAGGGTCTTACAACTGAACATTGGACTTGTCAACTGGGCTAGTCTCTCAGCCTCTGGGATTTCAGGTGACTGTCATGCTTGCATAGCATAGGCATGGATACTGGGGAATCTGAATTTCAGTCCTTACACTTGAACAGAAAGTGCTTTATCTATTGAGCTCCCCACCCCGACACCTTTTAAACAATTACTGTACATGTTTTCAGTGTACTTCTCTATGTTTATCTATGTTCAGCCACATAATTAATACTGTGACATTAAGATATCAAGCCCACAGCAGTCAGTACTGTAACACGGTGTACAAATGGAAGCAAAGGCTACACCACATAGCACAGGCTGTGGTAAGGGGCACAATTATGGTTTACGTAAGTACAGTCTATGATGTTTCATGATGATGGGATCCCAAACAGCGCTTTTCTCAGAATCCTGACATTAAGCAACACACGAGTATGTAAGTTCAGTTTTGGGTGTGGGTCATCTACCTTGCAACCTTGCCAAGCTCATTTCTTTAATGGATTCTGGAATTTCTACGTGGATAACTGTGTTATATGCACCTAAAGACAGCTCTTCTTTCATTACCATCTGAATGACTTGTTTCTTGCTACTGCCCCGGCTGGACCCATGCTGTGTTTGGTAGACTCTCCAGTGCAACACTGAGTGTGTAAGTGATGTCTGTCATCATTTAAGGGCTCAGCAGGCTGCCTTACGAAGTCAGAAGGTCTTATTGGAAAGGATACTGAAAACATTGTTGCTGGGATAGCTTAATTAAGAGTGCTAGAAAGAAAGGGAATACAAACAGAAAGCAAGACAATATTTGAGGCACTGTGAAGCGCTGTAGGGTACAGTCTGACAGAAGCAAACATACTTGAGATCCATTCCACCTCTTGGGTTTCAGGGAAGCTGCAGACAGTGATATGATAAATAGAGCGCACATTAAATACATACATGCTTTATTATTGAGTTCACTATTACTGACACAGGAGCAACAGGCAAAGACAGATAACTTTTGAGTCAGCAGAAGAAAACTAAAATATCTCTGGAAACCAGGAAAGGGGGATGGACTGAAGATGGACATGCTTCAGACAGAGAAACAAGATGCACAACCTCTGCTATTCCTGATGCTTCTAAATGCAGCACAAAGGGTACCATAGAGCTTAGAAAAGAAATGAATATGAGATGTTTGGCATTATTTGAAGGTACCATCTACCTGAGAATCCAATAGAAAATTACCTGGAAATATTTTTAGCTGTATTAGACTATAACTTTCAAATAGGTTGTTCTTAGTTATGCAATAAAACTAATTAGTATATAAAACACGAATAAGTACACACAGGCACCTGAGAGCAGTATTAATATTTGGTGAATTGGCAATGTCAAGCTCAGATTCAGTTGTGACCTACAGTTAATGAGGCTGAGCACAACGGTTTCCCACTGTATCGTATAGAAGGGTTCAGAGGCTTGGGTAGACAGAAGCATGGAGAAACACTTATTATGTAATTGAATTAGTCGGTGTTCCACTGGAAGGGCCCAGAGAATATTCTTTATGGAAGTATTCAGAAACGCACTGGAATAATGTCTCTGTTTTAAATGTGAGTTTTGGAATGTCTTAATAGTAGAACTCAGGATAGTAATCTGTTTTCTGAGAAGAGGTAGAAGCAGCCATGGTTTTGTGAAATCAGAATGGTTGATCTGTTCATATCTGTGTTTAACTTAACATAGCAATCTACGGGACCAACCAAATACGCCATGGCTTACTAGAACATGTTGATGTGAAACTGGAAAACTTGTAGGACTTAGGGATATATGTTGAACTAAGAGTCTCTCCCAGACAAACAGATCCTCCTGGAGGAAAACCCCACGGTATGGTGAGTGGTGTGCTCAATGACTCGTCTCCAGAGCTTGTTCACAGGAACCTCTGGTCAATTACTATGTGACTGAGCACTGGAGAAAGCAAAACCCCAGCCTTTCCAAGGTACAGCTGAAGGTGCAGTGTGCAAACTCTCTCTCAGACTGGTATCTCAGATGGAAACACTCTTGTGTGCTGAGGCTGGTGTCACGTGCTTGTAATGCCTCATTATATCCCAGCACCTGAGAGAGTAAGGGCCATCCAGAATCCAGGACACACAGTAAGATTGTGTTGGAAGGAGGTAGAAGAAGAGAGAAAAAAGGAGGAGGAGGAGGAGAAAAAGGGAGAGGAGGAAAAAGACAAAAAAGGAAGTGCTCTTTAACTAACCGGATAACTGCTGTCAGAAGTATGTAAATATTTATTTTAATTAAATATTCACCTTGGATGTCACACCTGTGTAGGCCTTAATCTGATGTTCTGATGTGTTTCCTCCAAAATGAATAGAAACTGTGTGTGTGTTTTTTTTTAACTCCTTAAAATATTCATCTTTGCAGATAGAACCTCAGTACATATTTATTTCTCAAATACTCAGATTGGATAGATAATAGTTTCAGTTTCTTTTTGTTTTTAAATGTATGAGGAAAATTACCATAGTAAAAGAAGGGTCTTGATATGGGCTTGGGTTTATGCACTCTGCCTTGCCAGATTTGAATAAACAACTAGGACTGATTTATTACTTCAGAAAAGAGAAACAAGTAAATGGATATCCATATTCAAATAGTGGAAACTTAAAAAGCTCAATTTTGCTGAGTTACTGGAAGAAGACTGCTAATTCTTCTAATGTGTTGAGTGAAAATAAAACCTGATATGACAAACTTACCTGGATTAGTGGACACTGATAAAAGAAAAAGAGAACATGGCTAAGTGAACACAAAAATATGGTTTTGTGGGCTGGAGAGATAGCTCTGCAGTTAAGAATACTTGCTGCTCTTGTAGAAGCCTAGAGTTCAGTTCCCAGCAGCTGCATCAATCAGGCAGCTCAAAACCTCCTTTAACTTCAGCTCCAGAAGCTCTGACTCCCTCTTGTGGCTTCTTCAGTTACCTGCACCCATGATCACACACACGCACGCACGCACACGTGTGCGCGCACACACACACTATTAAAAACAACTTTAAAATACATGGCTTTAAATTTTCTGGTAGAATGAGCTAGAAATTTGCATTTAAAACAAGAATAAATTTGTATCATTGTGTCACCCTTAAATGAACACAGGAAATATCCATGCAATTCTTGAAAACACTTGGGCTGTAAAAGCAAAGGGAAAATTATTCTGGGCAGAACCTACTTGAGGTACTGCCAAGACCAAAATGTTCCAAAGAAGGCTGAGGACATTTGATGAATGCAAAACATCCTGGTTATGGAGCCACGGGATGGAGCTTCTTTATACTTTATTTATTTACCTTTAAATTTTTAGATGTACAAAAATATATAAATTGCTACTATGGAATACTAAGCATAAAATATCCAAGAGAGTGTACCCACTGACATACTTGAAAATCATTAGTAAAGTTCCAAAGTAACTATTAGAGAAATGATTGACTTAATCTGAGCTAATACCCAAACTGAGAAAGGTAACCCCAATCACCATAGTCCTCAAAAAAACATCAAAGCTCAGGAAATTGGGAGCATAGATGCACCCGAACTACTCACAGGAAGTCCTTGTTTTCCCAGTAGCCCAGGCTTCCCAGGGTCTCCTGACATGCCGTCTACTCCATGATATCCTTGTAAGCCTTTTGGCCCGGGAAGGCCTGGAAGTCCCTTGGTAATTAAAAATTATTTTGATTACAGAGAAATATTGGGCAGGTGACATTTCCTGGTATAGAAAAGGTTATATACTTCTGGACTTTGCCTTTAGATAAAATTTCCTCTCCTTTTTAATGATTTAATATTTGTGTTGGTGGGAGGCCTGGGAGGATGGGAGGGAGAGGGAACTGGGATGGAAATGTAAAATAAAAATATTAAATAAAAAAGGAAACATTCCCTAAACAAAAATGAGAGTGAATCGGCAGTTTATTGTGTAGCTTCTTGAGCTCAGAGGATTCTCACTGTACCTGTCCATCTTCCTCTAGCTGTCAAGAAAAGCTGAGAGGAACACAGGGCAGCTTCGGATGCAGGTGTTAGTCTCATGTCTCCCCCAAGAATGAAGATTATGATGCTTGTTTCCCCTTAAGTCAGATAATCGGATGACTGATGACAGGCCTGAATATCTTGTTTTCACTCTTGAATGAATGATTGCTTTTGTTGTTTGTTTGTTGTTTGTTTTTCAAGACAGAGTTTCTCTGTGTAACAGCTCTGACTGTCCTGGAACTCTGTCGACTAGGCTGGCCTCTAACTCAGAGAGATCCACCTGCCTCTGCCTCCCAAGTGCTGGGATTAAAGGCTTGGGCCACCACCGCCCTGCCCTGAACAACTGGGTTTTATTTGTAGGGTCTTCGACATGAATGTTCCTGCAACGTATCCTTTTTTTTTCTTTTGCCTTTGTCCCAGTTCAGACTGGCAGAAGCAGGCATGTAAGTCTTGGCTGGGTAGCATCAGAAGCATTCTCTTTGCCAACTAGCCAGTCGGCACGTACCTATCCAGCTGGAGGAAGATACTGATGCTCAGGTAAAATTAATCTCTATTCTGGGACAAAGGAATACGTTTCTCCTCAAGACTTTCTGCCCTAATTGCCAGGAGAATGAGAAGCTGAGTCCTCCAATTAAAACCCAGCTTGTGTCTTTTTAATTATACTTGACTCTGACCTTTTTTTTTTTTTACAATTCAGTTGATCAGATTTCCAAGTTCCCTGTTTACAGTGGTTCACCGAGAGACAGAAGGAAGAGTCTGCAGGGAGGGCTCCATAACACGGGAAAATAGAATCCTTCACTTGCAAGGACTTAGATTTAAACAGCAAGTTTGGTTTTGAGTTAGTGGTCATATTTTGTTCCCTCTGTGTTCCAGCATGGGTTTGAATTTTTTTTTCAAGACAGTCTGATTTATCCAACATGACATAACTGGCCCCAAACTATTCTGCTTGCTAAAGTTGTCAATTCTGTTTAGAAAAAGAAGAAAGATAAAAGAGGTCTATTACTTACGGGAATGCCAGGTTTCCCAGATGGACCAGGAACTCCCTTTTTCCCCTTTGGACCCTGAAAATGGAAAGCACAGTTGTTAACAGATTGGAATAAACTGACTTAAACAAGCCACAGAAAGGAACACCGAACCCTGCATGGTACGGAAGCAGCATCACCAGCTGTCTATCACTGGGATGGCCATTAACTCTCCCGGGGGTGGTGAGACCACTTCCATCGTGGAAAATGGGTGACTTTGAACTTCCTTCTTGCTCTGAGTTCAGATTTTAAAAATTCAAATCACAGTTCTAAAAAGGCACTGTTTTGTAAATGTCCTCACTTTCAGACAGGGTCTATGTCTCCTTTTAAACGTGGCTAGGCCCAGTAGATATTTATTGAGTATCATGTATCATGGCATCTGTTACATGCTAGGAATTCAGAGGCAAAGTCCCTGGTCACAAGACTCCGTGTGGCGATGGATGTGAACCAATAGCCCAAATGTGCTCCCAGGGGGGCACAAAGAATGCACTTGCAAATAGAAAAAAAAAAAAAAAAAACCAAAAACAAAAAAACCCAGGTATTTATTTTTCCAAGGACTATTTGTTTTTCCATGTGTGAGATGTTTTAAGTCATAATTGATTCAACAGTAACTGGTCGGCCAGCATAGTCAGAGACTGTCCTTACAAATCATTCCATTGTTCTGATGATATCCCCAAATTATTTTCAGATGAAAAACATGGAAAACAGTGGCCGGGTGTACAAATAAAGAAGAGAATCATGCCATTACCAGACATACTTCTCAGAGATCATTGGAAGTTACCCCTGACAGGACTATTTTAGCCTAGAATGGTAAATTCTTAAGGCTAGCATGCTGAAGATACAGTTTAATGATATACACATGAATAATTGTTTCAGATGTTTCACCTTTGAAGATGACCTTAAAAATTTGAAAAGATACAGTACATGTCACCATGGAGGAAAAGACTGTGTCTGTAAGAGACAGAACATCCAACTGTTTAGCTGGGCTTGGTGCTATGCACTGAGTAGTCCCAAGACTCAGAAAGCTGCCTATGCAAGCATAGCTTAAATGACTTCTGGCCCCAGGTGGGGCCAGCATGGTAGGATTATGGCAGCTGGGGACCACAAAGGATGACATGCATTTGGTGGATATGTGAAGGAGGCCTGAAGAGTAAGGTCACCCTCTTACCATCTTTCCTGGTCATGGCAACCAAGAATGCTGCTTCAGACATGAGAGCAAAAAGCAAATGGGAAACACTGTATGTAAAATGCAGCATGTTTGAGTATTTTAGAAGAGAAGAGTTAGAGGTGGTTAACCAATTAGATTCCCATCATTTAGTTGTCTACCACTACATGGGATGGACACTCAGGACAGATGGTAAGTTCTATTATAAAGGATACAAATGAAATTCTACTTTTAACATACTGTGCATCAAACATTAAAATAACAAAATATGAACGGAAGATCTAGGCACTATTACAGTCAATTATGTTTGAAGATGATCCTTGTGTTGGGATTATTTCAGAAGTTAAATGCTATACTCCAAAGTCTAGATCTAAAGGATTAACACAGCTAGAATGTTCTTTAGACTTGGATGGCCATAAAAGCAGTTATTAATAGCACAACACTAAGAGAATTTTATGAATATGAGAGACATTTTAAAATGTCACTTTACTAATGCTAGAAGGGTAGTCATGGCAATATTCACCCATTGACAAGTAAGTATTAAACCAATATCAAGAATCTGGCCTTTGTCTTGGATTATTTAGATTAGCTATTATCACTGTAACTGAAAGAACACAGGGGACCTAGAAAGGCCTATATGGTCTTGTAATGAAGGTCAATACATGTGGGACATTGTTTTGCTATGGAAAAAAATGTTTGTGTGCTCCCCAAATTCACATGTTGACTTTCTGACCTAATGATGAAGCATAAAGGTTGGTCCTCTGGGAGGTGATGATGTTTTGAGAGTGAGGGCCTAGAAGGGGATTAGTGTTCTGATGGAGACCCCAGAGAACTGTCTGGCCCTCTCTCTCCTAGTGAGGATACAGTGAGGAGTTGGCATCCTGTAACAGAGGTGCACTCCCTCTAGAACCTGACCATGCTGCCATCCTGACCTTGCACACAACCTCCAGAATGAAACTGTGTTACTTGTAAGCCACAAACCCCTTGGTACTTAGCTATAGGAGTCTGGACAAAGCTATTCTTATACTGTATTATATTTTGTGAATCTACACATTAAAATGTCTCAAAAGTAGCACCACCAGTTTCGTAATTCATCTAAGAGCTAAACATTATTAGACACTGCTCTCTTGCAGAGTAGTCTGTCCAGTAGGAAATTACCTATGGTCTGAGGTCAAGGAAACGTGCTGCTGTGTAAGCTCACACTGGATGATTAGCTGAGTTATTACCATAAGAAGGAAAACAGTTACACTCCAACCAATCCTCCAGACTCAAATAATAAAAGTAGACTATCCTATGATGTCAGACTTAACTTACTCATTTGATTATATTTAAAGATAAGCCCTTAATAAATCCATGGGTGTGATGTCCTTAAATAGAAAGGCAAATGATTTTGTAAGAAGTCTTTTCAGGGTACATGTGTCCCCTCCGCTTGAACTGTATTGAAAAATAGACTTAACGGCCCGTATGGAGCCAGCCATTCTGGAAGCCTCCCATTCATGGATGCTCCACTCGTTCTCTGACTAGAGGTGGTCTAGTTCTTGTGACAAAGGACACTTTAAGGGTCTCTGTTAATTGAAGTGTTGTTTTGTTTTTGACTTTGTTGTTTTTAGAGATGTCTCAAGGATAATTATCACAACACTCGGCTCTGCTCCAACTGCCTTTGAGCAGCCCAACTTTAAAAAGCAGACACAAACTCAGGGCTTTATGCATGAGCTACCCTCCCTTTTCCTTTAACCAGGGAAACTGCATTCACTGAAACCCAGAGGATCCTCTTCAGAGAAAGGGAGAATCTGGCTGGAGTCCTAGGCTCTGAGGCTCATAGGGGCTTCCACACACTTTGCATGGAGGGACTCACTCTCACATGCTCAGTGAATGAACTCATTAGTTAGTTAGGATTAAGTGTATTTTAATTTATAAAAAAATGTATAATTAACAAGAGATTTCAAAGCAATAGCTTTCGTATACTAATGAGACTCAGGAAATTAAGTTGTTTCTGGCTCTCTTTCTAATTAGTTCTGTGATCTTAGGTAATGCATAATCTCTCTGGGATTTAAATTTCTTCATTTTGAAAACAAGTTCACCATTCAGATGAATTTAAGGGGCCATTTCAAAATCTAAAAAATAAACTTAAAGCTTTGCAAAAACAAGACAGCAGCAATTGGACAGGACTCATCTGGCCACCAAAGGAGTCCTTAATGAATAATACATAATCAGCAGTTATTTTTGTAGCAATTAATGCTAATATAAACTCTAAGAGGTCTTAAATTATGCCATTGGACTTCATGCACCAGTACATGGCAGAGCAGAGAGCAGCTGGTTGCTTGGATCATGCAGATGACAAAGCATGGTCTCAGCTTTGTGACTCCAGCACACAAGGACAGCTCACAGGAAAGGCAGATTTCCCATGGGAGAATTCGATTCTCATTGCTACAATTTTAACAGATCCTAATAAGACCGGGAAGTTTCTTTTCCAAGAGATATGTCAAAAAGAAAACCTGATAAATATGAAAGTTTTAATTAGATAACATTAGGCACTTTAGGATAAAACTTGGACACATATCCACATTCTTGGGTAGCATGTAGTTCTACGAGCTTAATAGATTGGTCCACAACTTCTTCCATTGCATACATTGAAAATGTCAAGTGAAAGCAAAGGCTATCACGTTTCTCTGCCTTACTTTTCCCTCATGCAGGCCAGTTTGTAATTCACTAGCTAGTCATTGATCCTTGTTCATTTGCTGTGTGTGCATGCATGCATGTGTGTGTGAGTGTGTGTATGTGTTTGTGTGTGTGTGTGTTTGAGTGTGAGTGTGTGTGAGTGTGTGTATGTGTTAGTATATGTGTATGTGTGAGTGTGTGTATGTGTGTGTTTGAGTGTGAGTGTGTGTGTGAGTGTGTGTATGTGTTAGTATATGTGTATGTGTGTGTTGAGTGCACATGTGTGTGCAGGTACATGTATATTGCATGAGTACATATATGTGGAAGCTAGAGGATAACCTTGGGAATTGTTCTTCAGGCTCTACTCACTTTAAAAAAAACGTATTTGACTCATTCTAGTATAAATGTGTGTGTGTGTATTTTACTTTAAAATTATCTGTGTGGAGGTATGCACACACAAATGCCCATGGTGGTCAGAAGAGGGCATTTGATCCCAGGGAGCTGGTCTTCAGGTGGTTGTGAAATACACCTGGGGAGTTGAGAACTTAGGTCCTCGACAAGAGTGATTGTAGCCATCTCTCCAGCCTGTTTATCCCTCCCCCCACTGACCTGCAACTTGCTAAGGGATCCACCTGTCTCCTCTTCTCAGCATATTTTACATATGTCTAGACTTTTAAATACGGGTTCTGGGGAATCCAACTCAGGTCCTCATGTTTGCAAGACCAGTAATGTACTGACTGAGCTATATCCCTAAACGCCCAATTCTTTTTTTTTTTTTTTTTTTTTTTTAAGGAATCACATGTGATGTTATCACATATATAACCTGAATATTTAAAAAGGTTTCTATGTAACTGAACAACTATTGAATATCTACTCACTATACCCGATTCAATTCCATTTTGATACTTAATTCTGCCAGTTGGAAACACAAATTGGAATAAAGACACCTTTATAAATTAGAAGAAACATAAACCCACCATTGTTTTTCTATCCATTCTTGTGAAATTTTAATTTATACCATAATGCATTTTCTTAAATACTGAATTTTAAGGGCCAGGGGTACAGCTTAGAGGCAGAACACTTTCTTAGAGTGTCCAAGGGCCTGGGTTCAATCCCTACCACTAGAAACAAGGTTCCTGAGCCCCGAGTCATGAGCATGTGTAGTGAGAACGCTGTGAGAAGTCAGGGATTGATAGTGCAAACTCTCTGCTGTGTATGCTTGAGGCCAGGCCTGTCTAGGAGAAGTTTAAATTTAGTGAACCAGCACAGTTGTCACTTGCTTGATTGTAAGTAAGTGATTTGTTTAATGGAAAAGAAACTCTTATATCAACTGCTGACTCTATGATATGCAATCGAATGGCTATTTTTACTTTTTTCCTATTAGATAGATACTTTACTTGGATGAACTTCAGCCAGCTCTCTCATCCTGGGTCTGCCATGCCTGGATCTCTGGTCTCTTGGAATATGGATTCCTCACTGCCCACCTCCATGTGATGTCTGATCAGCTTGGCCTGTGCACACCAGAACTGTTGCTGGTCTGCTTATCTAGATTCTCCCTTACTCCTAATGTTGTCCTTGGTGATTTTACATCCACTGATCTTTACTATGCTGATATAATATTTATGATTTATTAGAGCTTCTCTGAGAGTTTAGATTGCAAAGCTAGCCACAACACATAGAGCCAGGCAGTGGTGAGACACACCTTTAATTCCAGCAGCCATACTAGCTAGCCAGGCACAGACTTTTAGTCCCAAGTTTCAAGAGACCAGAAGATGGATCTCTGTTAGCTCAAGGCCACACTGAGCTACATGAAATTGATCGAGTCTAAAAGAAAAAGAGCTCACACAAAGATGATCTCAGCATTTGGAATCCTATTCCTTTAACCCCAGCATATAGGATAGGAGCAGATATTCAGTCTGGGACATTTTGGTCTCCAGCCATATACAGGACAAGATTGCTTCAGCCTGGGTAGAGGTAAGAGCTACTGGCTTGGCTGTTTTGCTTTTTTGATCTTTAGCTTGTAGTTTAAACCTCAATATCTGTCAATGTGCGTTTTATTAAATTTATGAATTTTCATAAGCTGCTCTTATATTCAGAATTAAACCCAATTTCTGTCTGACTAAAAATCTCAAGTCATTGTGTAGAAACCTATACCTATTGTGGCTGTTATAAACTCAGTTTTCATTATCCTTCTTGAACAAAAATCTTCAATCGTTTTCTTTATCAGTAACTTCTACAACTGGATCTATTTGGCTGGCAGTTTTTCACTCTACAATGCTGATACCTCCATTTGAAACCCCAATAATAGACTGCCTTAGGGGATATCTGTAGGTGATTTTTGCAAGGCCAGGATAGGTAAAGTGCAATTTAGATTCTAGTCAAAAGATATGAGTCATTCAATCAGGGTTTAGCACAAAGTTTGACATGTGGTCACCGACCCTACCCCAGAGGCTTACAGAGATATACCCTCAGGAGAGTGAATGGCTACTTGAATTATGATAAACAGCAATCTCTCGTGTGCCCACTGTCCTAAGGCAGCAATAGACTTCACATTCCCTCAAACAAGTTTTACTTACATCAGCTCCTCTCTCTCCCTTCAGTCCTTGTCCACCCTGGTCACCGGGTTCACCCTTTAACAGGAGCCAAGAGGGAAATCATATGTAAAGCAAGGAAGTGAGCTATATTAATACAATTTTTTTAAATGTTGCAATTATAGAATACTTTCACAACATACTGGGGGCCCTTGTTGTCCAGTGGAACCTCGGAGTCCTGGCACACCCATATGGCCCTAGGAAGAGGAAAGATTCAATTAATTCAAATAAGTTCAGTCATGTGACCTAGACTTTTATTACTTAAAATAGAAGCAGAGGATTCTAGAACTTAACTTAATATTGAGTCTTCTTTGAAATAGGATAGTGCCTATAGTTGAGGGCTATTTTGATGAATCTGGTATATTATGCTGGACAAGTATAATATTTTTTTGGTTTTGTTTTAAAATGTGAGTTAATGCAGAGGATTAAATGGAGGATTAGGATGGTGTCTAATCTTCAAAGTCTGTAAACTTGGTGTTATTTGAAAGTAGAGTCTTTAAAGATGTGGTTTGAAAGAAAATGGCCCCATAGGGAGTGGCACTCTTAGGAGGTGTGGCTCTGTTGGAGAGGGTGTGGCCTTGCTGGAGGAAGTGTGTCACTGTGGGGTGGGCTTTGAGGTCTCTTTTGCTCAAGCTTCCCTCAGTGTGACTGTCAGTCAACTTCCTGCTGCCTTCTGGTTAAGGTGTAGCCAGCACCACCTCTGCCTGGATGCTGTCGATCTTCCTGTCATGATGATAATGGACTGAACCTCTGAGCATGTAAGCCGCTAACTCAATTAAATGTTTTCTTTGTAAGAGTTGTGGTGTTTATTCTCAGCAATAGAAAAACCTAACTAAGATACTACATTACCGATCCTCAGGGAGTCTGAGCCAGTTACGGAGCTCAGGACGATGATGGCGAGCCACTAATTTGCTGCCTCTCTGGCTTGTCATACTAGGGAGACTTTTCCACAGTGACTACATAATCATCAACTATCTCTTTGAACTCGATGAAGTCGAGACATAGTTCGTGACACAATTGGTGAGTGGATTTGAGAGGACTATGGCTAGGAACATAAGTCTAGTTAGAGAGCTATTGAAATAATTCAGACAAAAGACATCTCAAGAAGACCAATTCAATTATGGCAATTATCTGTCTACCTGCTTGTCCAACCAACTTGGCTAATCTAAGTCTGCCTTTTCAGTAGTGATCACAGAAGTATCAACCTTGAGACAGAGATGCATTGGGTCAAGCAGTCCACTGTTCATTATTAAACACAAATTATACACAGAGCTTCCAACTAAGTGCCATACAAGACAGAACAAACTTAGGTTCTAATTGGGGAGCTAAGGCACCATGTAATTTAAAAACCAACTAGCAAAAATATGGTAACAAAAGACCACAAAGTGTGTTGAGTAACCTATAAAGAATATTATGGGGTTGTAAAGGGCAAAGTTGCTGTGTGAGTTCGATGAGAGGAAAGTTGGAGACAAATTATAAATGACAGATGGACTCTCTGGAAGCTAGGGTTATGTAATGCTGGGAGCAGGAGAGGATCTGCTGAGCAATGAAATAAGACTAAAGCGACAGGGAAATTGACCCTGTGAACAAGAGACAAGAGATGGCAGACAAGAGCATAAAACATTGTCAACATAAACATGAGTCTTTATATGGGCTAACCGTTTCAGGGGATTATGTGGATTTTAATCCAAGAAATGGAAGAGGCTAAGAACTAACTTAAGTCATAGAGCTGCAATATTATCCATCTATTTCTTCAATAAATCTATATGGGGCTTCCTCTGGCCACGAGAGATTCTTCAACCTAGAAATTGGGACGCTGTAACTAAAGGACAGAAAAGATTCTTATTCCCCCAGACCTGACATTTTGGTGAAGACTGTTAATAAAACAAAAACAAATAAAAAGTGATAAGTAACATAACATTTGAGTACCATGAGGATACGTGATAAAGCGTTAGCTGTAGATCTACTTTAGGCAGGCAAAACAGTTCCACATCTGTTTAAGTAGGGCAGTTAGGGAAAGCCTCCCCGGTGATAATTCTCCAGCTGAAATCGCTGATGAGAAAAGGCAATAATGGAAGAAACCAATGGTAGACAGCTGGGTCAAAACCACAATGCGTGGCTGATTATTTCAGTGTGTTTGCTTTTGTTTGAAAGTAAACACCGTTTCAGGGAAATTCTACTCAAATTGAGGTGCAAGGTGTGTAGCTTCCAGCGATTACCTTATAGCCCTCATCACCATGCTCTCCTCTCTCTCCTTGTTCCCCCACTGGGCCCTACAGAGAACACACACAAAGACAATCACGTTCATGGCTGTAATCCCTGAGGGCAGATGCTACAATTAGGGTGCTTCATTCTTTTGCCAAAAATATAAGGATCAATGTATAGTAAATTCTTTAAGTCTGCTATGCAACTGAAAATGGCTGAATTTCAAGTGATATCAAAAGTGCTATAGAATTACAAACCTGATGAATTAACTTAATAATTTATAAACAGTTGCCACATGATGCCAAAAATTTTACATCAAGTTATTAGAACTAACATAATAAATTAAAATACAGATATAATTATTCTGATGTTTACTGCTAAACAGAGTTATATGAGTATAGCCTCATAATGATTTTCTATGAAAAATATTGAAGAGAAGATAGCTAATAAAACCTTGAATTTTATGAGTATAATATAAATCTTGAAGGTTTCTTAATCTTAAGTGGGTTGAAATTTATGTAAGGCTTAATTTTGTTTACTTTATAGACTTCTTAACTAACCTAACAAAATAAGACTTATTTTTTAAAAATACTTGTCATGTGAATTTTTTGATATGATAAACTGTTCAAATCATAATTTTTAAAATTTACATAGAGTATTAGTCATCACACACTAGACTCTCTAGTCTGAACAGAAACTTAAGTTGAGTTAAGTTGGAAAAGCAGGAGAAATTATAGACTGATTACTATAGACTACTTACAGATAAAATCATCTTATTCCTAGATGAATAGTTAGTAGGCACAATGCAAAGAGAAGTTCTGATCCTGTCTTATGTGGGATATCTGGTTTAAGTCTCATGTCTACTGGGAAATCTCACCAGAAGTGATTTTAATTTTAGTGCACAGGTATTTATTACACTGTAGCAGACAGTTTCCTATTGACATTCCCAAACCTAGGAAAACACTATTTTCCACTTGGCAATTTTTCTGTTGTTAGACAATTTTTATATTATTTCTCCCTAAATCAGTGGTTCTCAACCTTTTGAATGTTGCGGCCCTTTACTACAGTTCCTCATGTTGTGGTGACTCCCAACCATAAAATCATTTTGATTGCTGCTTCATAACTATAATATTGCTATCATGAATTGTAATGTAAATATCTGATATACAGGGTATCTGATATACAACCCTTGCAAAAGGGTTAGTTGACCCCTCCCCCCCCGAAGGAGTCATGACCCATAGGTTGAGAACTGCTGCTCTAAGTGATGTGGTTTAGACAGATTAAAACATGTTTCATAAATACACTTAAATATTTGCACAAAGAGATCGCCTTTATATAAAATGCCTCAACTTAACTTGAAACATTCTAGAATTTTCTGTATTATTTTCTACAGTAAAATATTAATGGCAACTGTAGTCATAGAGCCAGATCAAAATATTAGGACTATACATCCGTCATGCTTCTGGCATCCTTTATTTTGAATGTTACTGTGTGAAAAATGATACTATAACCAATATGCTTATTTCTGTGAACTAAGTATTATCCATTCACTTGTTTATATATGTTATTCCCATGTTATTTTAGAATTAAATGGTCATAGAACTGGTTATTCAGATTTCAAAACTGTACTAGTAGTGAATTTTCAAAACAGTGGTTACAGTTTGTCTTTAAATGTTGGATTTGAATACTATATGTCCACAGTCTTGAAAAGCAATTTACTCTGACTGGTTACAAAAGCTAGCAAATCACTTGGCAACAGTGGACAAATTATTATAAACATATATAGACCAGATTTTTATAAAAATACTTTGGAAGTAGATATGATCTTGACAATTAAAGAACTATTTGACCTAGACTAGCTAAAGCATATTTATTCTGGACAATTTCTGTAAAATTTTGTCATGCAATCCATGTTGAAAGTTAGATTTCATAATTAACTCTCTTAAACATACATCTTGGATAAGATTATTGACTAATGCATTTTTTCATGTCTAAGATTTTTACATTATTTAGATGCTATGGAGATAAATATTGCTTTACTATAAAGAGAAGTTATGAAACTAATCAAATAAAACTTTGAAAGGAATGATTGGCACTGAAAGCTTCTGATTGCATTTCATCCTGAGGTACCAAAATAATTTTAGAAAAAACCTACTGGTTCACCTCGAGGCCCGGGAGGTCCTAGGACTTTGCTGTCTTCTCCTGGGTAACCCTAAAATGAAAATAACAATTCTTAAATACAAATAAAGAAAGTACATCCAAAACATTCTGTTATTTCCTAGTGTTTTTTTCCCCTTAAGTGGAAACTTTATAGCTAAAAATTCGAGTGTATCATATTTTGTATACAATCCTACTTTGTATATTGTTGTGCAGTATTTAGATGCATTACATCTGCTTATGCTGTGGAATATTAATTTCATTGTTTAAAGGTGTGTTACATTTGTTTCTGCTGCACTTCTTTAATGATTTAAAGATGTGTTAGATTTGTTCATGCTGTATTTGCTTAATTATGAGAAGATGTGTTGCTGTTTCACCTTGCATGCCTGATTGGTCTAATAAAAAGCTGAACAGCCAATAGCTAGGCAGGAGAGGGATAGGTGAGGCTGGCAAGCAGAGAGGAGGAGGAGGCTTGAGAAGAACGGGAGAAAAGGAGGGAAGAGAATGAGGAAGAAAGAGACGGAGATGCCCGGGGCCAGCCAGGCTGTCGCCAGCCAGCAGGCACAGAGCAGGACATACAGAAATAAAGGTAAAAAGCCCTGAGGCAAAGGTAGATAAACATGAACAGGTTAATTTAAGTTAAAATAATTAGCCAGAAACAAGCCTAAGCTAGGCTGAGCATTCATAACTAATGAGAAGTCTCCATATTATGATTTGGGAGCTGGTTGGTGGCCTAAAAAGAAAGCCTGGTACACTACATGGTTTTGGGAAGTGTTAATCAGTTTTAATTACATAGACTACATCTTAGAAATTTTCTCAATGTGTAGACTTTGAATTAAACCATAAACTCAGTAATGCTATAGCTATTCCTAACTCATTAGGAAATTTAAATCCAAGTTGATATTTATATGCTATGGCCATTTCACTCAGCACATCACATCTTTCAATAAATAATTTTTGCTGTTATGAAACTGTGTATCACAAAGCACCTTCACACACACTGTCTCACCTCAGTCTTTAATTAATCCACGGGAGACATCTTAATAATTTATTTGAATTTTAGTTCTTTGGTATTATATCCTCCTAGAATTTGCAAATTTTCCAGTTTGAAAAGTGGTTCTTTCAATATTTCCATGCATTTATTTAGAAAGAAATCATAAATTAAATACATAACTCTTTGGAACCAAAAAGACAACACACACACACACACACACACACACACACACACACACACACACACACACACCTTTTCTCCTTTAGGCCCTGGCAATCCAGAGGGTCCTGGTTGACCTTGATGTCCCTATAAAAAAAGAGGAAGAAGTAGACAGACAGTCCCGAGACCACATGATCATGTGCTATTTAATGCTCCCAAATCCATGTTATTAGTTGTTGTAGTGTCCAGGGAAGAAACCTTTATAGGAGGTTGAGAATTAGACACAATGCTTTATAAGGGAAAAATGAACCTTCTTTATAAATAAGAGGGTTTATTTTACTTTCTTTTCTTGAATATATTAGAACTTTCATTTTTTTTTGGTGGTGGATAAATGATAGACATATGTATGATAGTGAGGGTATAAAATTCAGTATGAAGCTCCAGAATGGCCATCCTAATCATACAGAACTTTATTGAGATGTGTGGACTTTGGGTCTAATCTCATTGCATGGTGTTTTTCATTTGCAAGCTTTTTTATAATAAAGTTTTAATAAAGGAAAAGTGAATCTTAATTTTCACATTTGGAATGTAATATGAACTAAAATGCTTTCTTGCCTATGAATAAATATATATAGAATTTAAAAAATTAGAAATGCTTACTGTGTATCCTGGTATTCCTGGTTCTCCATCAGGTCCCATCAATCCTAATGGACCCTAAAAATGAAAATGAGAGAGAAAATAAATGATTGAATCATTAAGCATCTGTGTCTATTATTGAAACATTTACCCTTAGATTCTTCACAGTTTAAAATTCTACCTAGTATAATTGAGAAAACAGAAACATGACACTCCTAATTTTTGTCTGTATTTCTTCTGAGATGAAGTCCCACAAACAATGTGTCTAGTTCATTTCTGGTATGCACTTATTAGAAAATATGCTCACTTATAAGACTTTTGCAAATGCAATTCATGTCTGTCAAAGTTTGTGGTCACTGGGTATCAGAACGTGAAACCTGATAGTGTTTGATATTGTGACTCTGGGATTTGGAATGGCTCCATCCTCATAGATGATTCCAGATGCTTTCAGGAGCATGACTTTAATACAGGCCAAGGTTGATAGATTAGAAATACTGGCAGTTTGTGTGTCATTACTATAACAAGATTACCGTTGTCAGCATTTTACGGATGACCAGGCCATATAAATTAAAGATGAATCAGGAAATGCCCCTACTCTATTAAAAAGATGACTTAAGTGAAAAGCAGCTAATGTAGTGACAATCAAAATGACCCATTTCTCATATTATCAAAGAGTTTGCACACGGGAGTCTCCTGCTTGGGTCTCAAAACAAAGAGGAGGAAAGGAAATGAAGGCACAGAATAGATATACGATTTGCCATGTACCTATGTGAGAATCTGTGTGTAGCGTCACACCCGATCAGGCTGCTTTACTACATCTCACATACAGGGCACAGTTTGCTATACTGCTAAAGAAAAGGTCATGCTACAATTATCAACCAGGAACCAATTTAGAGAGATTTAGATCGGAACTTACTTCAGTTTGAGAAAGAACTGTGAAGAGCCGAATTAAATAAGAATTCAGATGTATCTGTTGTAGGGATTATTTATACTGGAATGTAGCGATTCAGTCACAATACTACTCACCGAGAGAAACACAAGAAAAATTGCAAAGGCTTTTAGAGAGGATTCGATTGGATTAAGGTGAATGACATAAGAGAAGGGGAGAGTCGAAAGACGCTTATTTGTTTAATTGAATTAAGCCTGGAAGATAAGCCTAGTTTCTGAACACAAATTTTGTTATTTGGGGCAAAAGTTAGGTCTGAACATGTGCAAAGAAGAATGAGAAGAAGAAGAAGAAGAAGAAGAAGAAGAAGAAGAAGAAGAAGAAGAAGAAGAAGAAGAAGAAGAAGAAGAAGAGGAAGAGGAATGTTATTATTATTATTTTATTATTTCTGGTGTGCAAATAGTTTCAAAGAAGTTTCAAACTCTAAAATAAAGAGATCCAAGGGGCTGGGTGAGTCAACTTGACTAATTTGGGAAAGGAGTCGGAAGATTTTCCGTTTCCTTGCTTGTTCTGGGTACTGGACAGCAGCAGGGTTTCCTTAGAGGTTAAACGAGGCAGTGCAGCAACTGTGTCCAGAAAGGTGGGCAGGGCCGGAGGTGAGGCTGGCTCAGACGCTGGGTAAATGGGAGCCCCACTAGGACCTTAATGTGCCCAAGACTCTACCTGCTCAACAAGGGGCCCACAAAGAGTTATGTGCATGGGGAGGGTTTCAGTAACTTCTGTGGAAATCTGTGGGAGAGTAGGAGAGTGCCAGGGATCTCAGGAGCTCAGCGAATGGGCTTCATATCATGGAAACACGTGGAATTTTGTGCTCACCCATCCATAGACAACACATCGCTTTACAAATGGTCAGTACATAATGGCCTCAAACAAAGTTTTAACAAATTTCTTCCAAGCAGGAATCACAGATTACATTTCTCTGAATAAGGTGAGATGCAATTAGGAAGGAGGCAAGAAACTTTAAAGAAGAATCTACTTAAATTTGAAATTCTTCAGAACAACTTTTCCTGAAAAGAAAACAAAATCTGCAATTACAGGCGGTTTCTAAGTGGATGCTGGGAAAACACAAACATAAAAACAAGAGGCAGAAAAAGGTAGATTAAAATGTATTTACTAAACAAAGAACAAAGGGGCCTCCCTGTGGTCATTGAACATTTGTAGATTTTATTTATTTATTGACATTTAGCTATTGCATTATCTTTGGGTTCATGTTTTGAGGGTTTCTGAGGTTTTGGAGGTGTCCGAGTGGCTTGTTCTCGAATATTCTCTGTTTCTTGCTGTGATTTACACATCTTTTGGGATCGGTGTGTCCTCACTTATATTTCTTTTTAAGTCTGGTGTGTGTGTGTGTGTGTGTGTGTGTGTGTGTGTGTGTGTGTGTGTGTGGTGTGTGTGTGAGTGTGTGTGTGTGTGTGCGTGTGCGTGCGTGTGTGTGTGTGTGTGTGCGTGTGTGCGTGTGTGTGTGTGTGTGTGTGTTCGTCCTCATGATGCCAACTTTTGCTTAGAGGGAGAAACACCAGCATTCACAGACACAACGATCTGCCCACAAGCTCTCATTTAAAATGCAGGCAAATCACGTGAGCTTCACCCCAGGAAGGGAAGGACACAGGAAAGCCAGCCTACCGTTAGAGTAAATGTGGCAAAGTGAGTTTTAAAACCAAGTGTGGCAATAAGAAGAAAAAGGAGGAGAAATGGGCAGAGGAAAAACATGAAAGAGAAAATAACTGTGCAGGAAGAACTCGCTGTCTACATGTGGAAAAACTCCATATCTTTCTTCCTGCTCATAAATAAATTCAAAATGGGTCAAAGACCAGACCATAATAAATGAAATTCTAATATAAACAAATGTTGTAGGATCTAGTAAAATTCAAAATCTCTTAGTTGAAAGGGCCATTTAAGAAAGAAAGGGCATTCCTCTACAGGAAGAAAGTGTATTGTGAAAATGGAACTCGACCACGAGACCTCAGGAGCATTTTCACTATGGACAGTTTGGCCTCTTATCACGCGAGTTTCAGTCCGTACTGCTCTTCAAATTCCGGCCAGTGTAGTAAGTCGGAGGAGTAAAGAGAAGCATGAGAGCATTGAGCAAGTGGAAGGTGCCTCATGCTTCTGTAGGACAGCCAGGTATGGGGAGGAACTGATGTTAAAACTCACAGTAAGATGGGTGTCAGAGTCAAGCACCTCTGAGCAAGGAACCATGAAGTGTCTGCTCTAACAGCTCTCAATGGATGCAACAGCATGAGAGACAGAACAGGCCACTATGGACCAGACAGACCGACTGTTTGATTGATGAAACCGCTGAATATTTAGGTTTAATCACAGTAAAAGTAGCCTTATACGAAAGTGGAAAAAACGTGTAGTGTTCAATAACAGAATTAAGAAGACATTAAGTGGGGTGGGGGTGGGGGACAAACATCTATCTTTTGTAACTAAGAAAACAAAAATCTCCACAAGGCTTAAAGAATTAAAAACAATATTATAAATGTATTAGGATAAGACTATGGGTGAAAATTTTGCACACTTTAGGTGGGGATAGAATTTCTAATTAAGAATATAATTCGGAAAATATTGACAACTTTGACGTTTAAAATTAAAATGTTCTACTCATCAAAAGACCGAAAATTAATAGATAATTGGCAGAAATGGAATCATTTATAATTTTTTGTAACATGTTTGACAAATTATATCATCACCAGATTTGCGAGTGATGGCTGCAAATCAGCAAGGAAAAATACTCACCAAATAGAAATATGTACTGTGCGCACACACACACACACATATGTATGCATATATACACACACACATGTACATAAATTAACAGATAATTTTCAGAGGAAGGATCATATAATACATAATTATAACAAGGGGAATTTAAATACAAAAGCAAAAATTATGTATATGTATATATATTTTCTCATTTATAAGATTATCAAACACTAAATGAACTAATATGAGATATAGACAATGGAGCGGTAGCTTTGGAAAATGAACTCAGTAGGCCATATATGTATATTTGTGTATCTATAGTTATATGTAACAATAATAAGGGAAAGAAATCCATAAATTTGAGAGGAAATGAGGAGCATGAGAGCATTTGGAGGGAGGGGACACAGGAAGGAAAGAGAAGAGAGGAAATGATATAATTACATTTTAATTAAAAATGTATTAAAAATTTTAAAGGTGACTTCTACTTCCAAAGTAGAAGTTTATATTAAAGGCAAATTTTGGTCTGCATTAATCCTTATGTTTATTAAAAAATTAATCACGTTATATAATGTTTTTTAAACATAGGCAAAAGTCAGAGAAATAGTGACATGAAATGATGTAAGACCTGGGTACTAAGGCAAATTAAATAAGTAATGGCAAATTTTCTTGAGAAAGCAAACAGATTATGCCATGGTCTCTTTGCCTTGGTGACAGGCTTGGCATGGAGTATTTCAATGGAGATGAGGTTAACGTACCTACACGTTACAAGCAAATTCGTGGAACAGATGATTATCTTCTAGATATTTTTCTTTTGTACTACCATTTTCTGAGTAGGTCAAGCACACCCCAGAAGCACAACTTTGCTGTCACAGGCTCAGAAGCTTCACGTGAGCTTCAGCTTCCCATGTCAGGCAAAGGGCATGCAAAAGATGAGGTATAAATAGCTGTTGGGCATATTTCTCCCAGCTGTCTAGAAAGATAATCTCAAGTTGAAGCAGGATGGGTCCAAGTGGTGGATGGAAACACATCTCAAGTTCACTTAGTTTTCAAAGCAATTTGCCGATGTGACGGCAGCTTCAGATAGATATTAAATCCTGATTTGAAGTGCTCAGTGTATAAACTTTCCTACTTAACTTTGGAGTCCAAATCAGATTTCTAAAACCTCATTTCATATTTTATTTCCATTTTCAGCTTTTCCTTTCCTTTTGCATGTCCAAAACCCACTAAGCTGTTTAATGCTGTGGAATGCCTGCGATTCCCGCCATCCCACAGAGGTAGATTATTTTCATCGGAACCTTTGCATCCTCTGTAAAGTCAATCAAGGATGACGCTTTAGGAACACGGATACAGTTCTTTTCCATCCACAGTGACTCAGTGCTGAAAGGCAATCAAATACTGACCACAGCACCTCTTGTTCCTCTGGCGCCCTTAGGGCCATTTTCCCCAGCCTTCCCGGGGGAGCCTTGGCTTCCAACTTCTCCCGTGGGTCCTATTTGTCCTTTATGACCCTGTGGATGACATGAACATGACAGAAAATAAATGCATTGATTCACTTAACTATATCATATACTTGAATGCCTCTAGGAGATGGGTGGAAAACAGAATTCTATGGACAAATGTTACTGCTATTGTTTCTCTTGATTTGTGAGACAGGCTCTCACTGTGTACCTTACGTTGGTGTTGGCCTTGTGAGTGATCTCCCTGTTTCTACTGCCTGACTGCTAGAATTACATTTGGCCTAGAGAAACTACTATCACGTGACATTCGAAAAATAATAACAGTTTTGAAAATAGACTAAAAAGTCTAGACCAACAAAGCAAGAACTATAGCATGCTCAGACTGAGCCCTATGCAACCAGCTTTGAACATATTTTGCTCGATGCACCTATCTCTCTTTTGCAAGAGTGTAACCATGGGTTGTTCACTTCTTCTTTTTTAGTATTTTCTCTTATTTTACATATCGATCCCAGTTCCCTCTCCCTCCCTTCCTCCCTCCCTCCCATGCCCCTCAACCCCCCTCCCATCCCATCCCCCCCACTCCACAGGGAGGGTGATGTCTTCTAGGAGGGATCAACAAAATCTGTCAAGTCATTTGCAGTAGGGACTAGGCCCTCCCTCCTGCCTCTAGCCTAAGGGAGCATCCCTCCATGGGGAATGTGATGGGAGATGTCATTCTGTATATGTTTCTTATACTGATTAATGAATAAAGCACTGTTGGCCAATAGGAAAGGAAGATAGGAGGGACTAGGAGACAAGGAGGAAAGAGGAAGTAGTAAGGAGGAGTCAGGATGGAGAGTCGGGAAAAAGCAGTATACAACAGCTGGCTCCGGGTAAGAAGACCACGTGGAAATACATAGATTAACACAAATGGGTTAATACTTAAGACAGAGCTAGCCGAAAAGAAAGTAGTAACCAGGCCAACAGATTATATCGAATACAGAGTCTCCGTGTGTTATTTGGGGCTGGCGCGGCTGCCGGACAAGAGTGGCGGTGGATGGAAAAACCGAACTCCTTACAGGAATGTGCTCCCAAAGTCCTTTTGTGCACCAGGGATACATCCTGGTTCCACTGTCTGAGGTCTCTTAGACTGCCCAGGCCTTCTAGCTGAGACCCATATTCAGGGGGCCTGAGTCAGTCCCATGCTGGCTTCCCAGCTATCAGTCTGGGGGTCCGTTAGCTCCCCCTTGTTCAGGTCAGCTGTCTCTATGGGTTTCTGTAGCCTGGTCTTGTCCCCATTTTCTATCACTCCTCCCTCTCTGCATCTGGATTCTGGGAGTTTGGCTCAGTGTTTAGTGGGATGTCCACTTCTATAGAGAACTTCAGCATCGCAAAGTTCTACTGCATGCAGGAAGTGAGTGCACACATCTGGTCATGCAGGACCATGTCTCATCTGCTCACAGATGCCTGCAAGAGTCCCTCTGTTTCCTACATCACTTCAGTCCTTCAGAAACTCGTCTGCCTTCTATCTGGTGCCACACTCACAAGCCCTTCTCTTTGACAGGCGCTCACAAGATAAAATTTTATTGTTTTCGTTCCCTTTCTCAAAACAAGAACCAGCCTGCTTTATTACTGATACTCAAGGTGAGAAAAACACAGCAAACATGCAATCAGTCTGTCAAGATACCAGAGGCATTCCTGACAGCTCATGGCATTTACTGCACTTTTCTAGGGCACGGCTGGTTGTTGTAAAGACCCACAATGTCTTTAATGCTGATTTCACTATGGGTTTCCTGGTGCTTCCAGTAGTGTGTGTGTGTGTGTGTGTGAGAGAGAGAGAGAGAGAGAGAGACAGAGAGAGAGACAGAGATAGAGAGAGAGTGTTCTCTGTATATGTGTGTCTGTGTGTGTGCATAACATGCTTCTGTGTATCTCTGTGTGTGTTCATGTTCTCTCTCTGTGTGTGTGTGTGTGTTTGTACACTCATGTTTCTGTGTGTCTGTCTCTGTGTGTGTTGATTTGGAGCAAACCTGATACTGACATTAGTTGCATTATCATGCATCATGAAAGAGACTTCAGTTCTCAGTTTAGAAACGGTACTTAAAGATTTTCTTAGCATTCTAAGGCTAAAACTGAGAATGATGGTACAGGTATAGAACTTGACTTCTGCAGAAACACAGATTTTAAGTTAACTGCTGTGTGCTAAACTATCACAGTCCATCGAAAAAACTGTTACCATACTCCATCAATACTAAGACAAGTAAGTCACTTACAACATACAAAGATGCATTGTAAGAGTAATACAAAATGGTCTTACAAATATATCAAGGGCTTTGTTTGGAAAAGCAATGAAAAAGGTTCTAGATTTCTGGGTTTAGTTACAGGAGAAATGCAAGAAAAATCAATCTTGTAAATTAAGAAACCACTGTTAATTAGCCTAGAAAGAAGATCCCAATATTTCCTGCATGCATTTTAATAAAATTGCTCAAATGGTCCAAATAAAATGACATTTTCATTTTATGTATTTCCTTGTTTGTGGTTTTTTTGGTAGGGAGAAAAAAGAAAGCAAAGAATGTCTTTCCAAACTATAAAGTAGAAAATCATCCCTCAATGACAGAAATACACTTTCCTATCCAATGAAGTATTACTAACCGAGTATGCTTTAATATCACATTTACAAGTCTTTATCATGTTATGTCTAATAAAATACAAGTACTACTCTATAGGCCTCTGGGCATGAGAAGAAAGTTCATGCAAAAATATATTTTTTAAAAAAATTACCTTTTTCCCTGGTCGACCTCTTTGTCCTGGGGTTCCCACAATTCCATCTGGTCCCTGATCATTTAATATAAAAAAGAAATAAATGTTGAAAGAAAAAAGTTTAGGGTTTGAATACTCCTCTATCAAATAATCATTGAAATGAACACTAAATAAAAATGAAGATTGTTTTTTAACACTATTATTTCTATAGTTATTTTTTAAAAAGGTCACAGTGATTAAAAGGCAGATTTGTTACCAAGCTCTAAACTGTATACACACACATGAGTTAACACAGTCATTAAACTGTGCATTAGGAAGGAAGTTTATTGGAATAAGAATGCAATGAAAGTGTACCCAAATGCATCCACATCACCATTTTAGTGAGCTGCATTGAGCTCGGCATTTTGTTGAAAGGACAAAGTTATAAAACATATCTACCACATGGTCAGGGAAAGTCTCAAAATATCCCTGAAGTGGAGAATATTAAGGAGATGAAAAGAATTAAAGGAAAAAGGAAAGGCAGGGAGGAAGAGAGGCAGTCATAATAATCTAAAATAATATTTTAATTTGTTTAGTTTGCAAAATAGAGTCTTTAAAACAAGAGTGGGGTGCTATATGGAGCTTTGTATCAACAATGGGTAAGTGTAATCTATAGTGAGTCAGGCTGCCAGTCCTAAAATTGGTAATAATGACAGCGTTCTTTTCATTAGTTGGAAATGGAAATGGAAATTTCAAATTTGTGCCCCCCTAAGCTTGGCAAGCTTATGAAGACAGAAAGTAAATGGTGGTTTACCACTGTGCTATGCAGGCCCTCGGTAAATATTTGTTGAATGAATAAGCAGATACCCGAGGAAATGACTCACACTCTACACTTCCCAGCAAACACTGTTCTAGCCTCTCTCCCCGAGCCATGATCCATCCACTGCTGTATCACAGCTGCATCCAGAGGGAGATCCGGTAGCTGCACCACGTAGAAGACTGTTTATTGCAGAGAGACAAATAACTTTCCCCAAAGAAGCCGACTAACCTGCATAGAGTTTTAACCGCTGGACTTTTCTAGTTCAGGCAATTAATTGCCATATAGCCACTGACAAGTTGCTTAATTTATTAAAGGCCTGTGGGGGTTAGAGAGATGGCTCAGCCATTAAAAAGAATTGCAGCTCTTGCAATGGCATACAAAATTATCTGACTCCAGTTCCCGGTGATCCTAGCTCTGTCCTCCGTGGGTACCTATGTACGTATTCCCACACAAACACACATGCTCACTTATAGCACATTTTTCTTTATTTATTCTTTGCGGTTTTCATGTCAAGCCTCCTGATCCCACCCACCTCCCTCCCCTACCAAAGTAAAATAAAATTTAAGAGAAAAAAAAATAAAAGAAGGGGGAAAGAAAATCTCATCATGGAAGCTGCAGTGTGACACAGTGTGTTATGTAGCACGTCCCTTTATCCACGTATTTTCACACGCAGGTGTGTGCGTGTGTGCGCGTGTGTGTGTGCGTGTGGTCAGTCCACAGCACAGGGCATTAGTGGGATGTCTAGTGGGAGTCCCAGTGAATGCCCGGCGATGATGGTGCAGCAGAGACAAGAGGCCTTGGACCAGACCAATGATTCACTGCAATAAACACCTGCATGAAAAAAACAAAAAAGTAGGACTCGGCACTCCATTTTCTCCCTAAGTAAAGGAAGGATCAAAAAACAAAACAAACAAACAAAAACCAAAACCCTTTGGAAGGGCTGCTAAGACCAGTGAGACTGCATGCACATAAAGCTTGGAAAATATTGGCTCATAATGAAGGGCTCATGCAGTCAGTTTTCACTAACATCTGCCCTTTAAGTTTGTCATGCAGTATTTAAATATGTAGAATGACAATAAATATAAAACGAAACGATGGAAGCCCGTGTGCTCACCACCCATGATACAGGAGAGACCAGCGCTCACGACGTCCACTTTTCTCGGGGAGGGCAGTGAAACCATAGTTTGGAACTCTCTGGCCTTTCCACACACTTCCTCACACATTACAGCCTTCTTCCCAATCTTCACAAAATAAGTATTATTCTGTCTTTAAACTTTGAGCGGTGCTCAAAGTTCTTGATGTAGTCTGACACTTCCGACACTGTATGACTCCTTTAGCCATTTGTGCTGTATCTTTAATCTGTTTTCATTTTTAAAGCACTGCAGGATTCCATAATATTATCGTCAAAACACAGTGTAACCATGTTTTCTAATGATTAGATTTCCTACTACTTGATAATGTTGCAATAAGTACATCTGCATGGGACCTTGCCAAGAATTGTTTTCTTTTTTTTAATTTTGTCTCCTTGAGTTGAATTGCTGGATTGTGTTTAATGTGTGTGTGTGTGTGTGTGTGTGTGTGTGTGTGTGTGTGTGTAAGAGATTTTTCCCCCCTATATGGCCAATCAGTTATAATACTATGATTTACTGTATGGGTCTTTCCCTTATCAATACACAATGTGTAATTAAATGATCAAACATCAAGTTTCAAAGACTCAGATCTTTTTCTAGGATATTTCCCATCAACATCTGTAAACCATACAAAATTAACCATATCATGGTACCCCGAATAATGCTCTGGTATCATATAGGTCTATCGTCTCGCTCACCTCCCTCTCCATCATCCTCAGGTTGTTTTCTAAAACTGTCTTAATATTGGCTTTTTAATTTCAGTACAAACTTTGAATTAATTTTTTATCAAGTTATATTTAAAAGTCAAGTTATATTTAAAAATCATGTAGTAAATTTTCAACTGAGATTGTATTAAATGTAAACTGACTTAGAAGAGAAATGAATTCCTGTTTATGAATGTTAAATCTTTGTCCATATATTTCTGTCTTTTAGGTTTTATTTAGGTTGTATTGTTCTCAAATCACAGAAAAATATACAAAACTTTATATATATATCCTGTTAAGGTCTAATCCAAGAAACTTAATTTTGTTGTTGATTATAATAAAAATTCTATTTGGAAATAGTTTTCTTTTTTTCTACCGATTATATTTTTATTTATTTATCTATTATGTGCACAGTGTTCTGCCTGCAATTTGCCTGCAGAGCAGAAGAGGGCACCAGATCTTGACGAATGGTTGTGAGCCCTCCTGTGGTTGCTGGGAATTGAATTCAGGACCTCTGGAGGAGCAGCCAGTGCTCCTAACCACTGAGCCATCCCTCCAGCCTCCTGGAAATAGTTCTCTAAGTAATCTGTGTCAGTAAAGAAACAGAATCCATTTTTGAATATTAATGCTTTATTTAGCACCAGGAGAATTTTTTTTTACTAATTATACCTTATAAATGATTTTGTTATACAAGTATTTCTATTTTATATAAATATTATTATCAATATTAATCTGAGTATCATGGGGAGGAAGGAGGACACATTTATCTACTAAGTATAATAGTGAAAGTGTTGATATTGTCTTAAGAGATGTCTTTGTTTAATCTGTTGGGATGACTATTTTACTGTGTTAAATTTTATAAGATACGGAACTCACATGTATAATCTTTTAAGATGTTAAACATTTGGTTCAGCATTGGTGTGAGGGAATTGGCAAACCTTTTATGTGTATCAGTGCTTTCAGAAGAAGTAAGTTCACATATCTGCATACCCACTGACCGACGGTGACATCACCTGCCAACAGCAGCTCAGTTTGGGCATCGCCTGTGGGTCTGTAATGCGTGGTGAAAATGAAGGCGTTGATGTGGATAACAAACTCTATAACTGAGGTGTTTCTTTGAAGATAAATTGCACACTCATCTCTATCTTTAAACCTTCATTCTCAGCTCATTTTCAAGTTAGCAATCTCGTCTCACATCTCTTTAAGATATAGTAGAGTTGAAGCTATCTTCCTAACCCTAACACACACCTGCTGTTCATTCACACATAGCTTCTGCCTCCTTTCTCCGACAGAGATATAAGGGTCTGCTCACTGGGTGAAGCTAGCTCCTTGCTTATACTCTCAATCCCAATACCCTGCCTTCTGAAAGAGCCCACTCTCTGACTGCTATCAGGGTTTCCCCAACTCCATTCACATAGGCTTAAAACTCCTTGAGAGACTCCTCAAGCTTCCCTGTCTTCCCTTTTTCTCCCTCCCGTCACCCCTCCTCCCCTCCCTCCCTCTCTCCCTCCATCCCTCCTTCCCTCCCTCCACTCATCACACATTTGTTATTTACTTATACAGTTTTCCGGAAGATTTTTTTTCCCCTGGTTTTCTCTTCTTAATTGCAAAACTTTTTGTTTGTAGGGCTCATTCTTCTAATCACTGTTCTAATCTCTCTCTTCATTTGGGCTTTCGTTCCCACCTCTGAAATTGACCTCAGGAGAGCCAAAATCAGTGGCTACTTTGCTTGAAACACACACACACGCACACGCACACACACACGCACGCATGAACACACATGCGCACGCACACACGCACGCACACACGCACGCACACACACATGCACACACACATGTATACACACACGCACACACGTGCACACTCACACATGCACACACGCACGCACACTCATGTGCACACACACACACGCATGCACGCACACACACACGCACACACATATGCACACACACGCACACGCACGCACGCACGCATGCACACACACGCACACACACTGTTTTCATTGCGTCATGCTTCCCTGGCTTTCTGCTTATGTCTTAGATAAAGCTGTCTCCTCCATTATGCAGATAGTTAATACTGGAGATGCCGCCTCTCTTTTGCCCGCTTAGGTGGTCTCACCAATCCTCATGCTGTTAAACACCATCTGTATTCTCAGGATTGCTAAATTAAGGCTGCCCTGATAGCCCTACCCAATGACATCTCTTCTTGAATTTCTAACAACAAGCATCTCAAAATATAAACTCAGACTCAACTCTCAACCCCCCCGCCCCAGCCTGGTTCCTCTTGTAATGGAGCAATACTTTGAAACACTATTAAAATGTTTTCCTCCTTTGCCTGTGCTAATGCCAGGACTTCAGCCTTGCTCAGTCTAAATGCACCTGGTGGGGGGATGTGTGTCAAGAAAGGATCGTTCTGTTTTACTTTTCCTCGTTTTTCAACAGT